TATAACTAAAATAACCCCAGCCCAGCCCAGCCCAACCCAATTCAATTCAAACTATGTATGTATATATTATTAGGAAAATGTCTCGTAACTCAAATTTTATGGCTAAAAAGTGGCTCAAATCGTTTTAACCATTTTTATGTTATTTTGTACTCAAAATGATGTCGTTTTGACTATTTAAATCACTTTTAAACCACAAAATTTGAATTACGTAGCATTGTCGATATTATTAACGAAAATACTGGACACATAAGTTCCAAATTGTCCATATTTTTATTAAAGTGAAATTGTCCATATTCGAGCCCCAAAAACCTCTGCGAGAAGAAGACGAAGTAAGCACAGTGTGATTAGAGATGGTAATGGCAACGGTCACTTTAAGCAGCTTCTCAGCAGTGTCCTTGTTGCTGACTCCGAGTCAAATCGGTACTAACTCGATACGCTTTTTCTTCAAACCCTTGTTGACCTCCTCCTCCTCCTCCTCCTCAAGGTCCTCCATTTTCAAGCACACTTTCGCGCCAAAAGTGCTTGCTTCTTCAACTGCCTTCGTCCAAACCAAGCCGGTATACATCAAATTTTGATTTTTATGTCTCTAGTATTAGTAATTCATTAGTTCTTCTTCAAGTTAATTGATACGTTTAGTGGATTTCTGAATTTAGTTACAAAGCAACATATATTTTCTTTTGTTGGTTGAGAAACGACAATTGTTGTTGTTGTTGTTGTTTTTTTTTTTTTTTTTTTTTTTTATGGGAAAATTTTGAGGATTGGGGTAAAATGCCCGAATTTTATCACCATTAGCAAATTGGGTAAGACTTGTATAGTTGTATTTATAATACTGGAGGTAGGGGTATGTATGGATGAAGTTGGGAACAGAATCTGATGATCTGGTTAGAGTCTTTTTGGTTATTATCAGTCTTGCAACTTGAAAATATGGGAACTAAATTTTTAATTATGAAGTTTTTTACTATTGGATATGATATGACATGACCCGGTTGAATTGAAATAATTGTAGTTTGATGGACATCAAACATCTTACACACAACACTTTATACACTTACATGAATGCTTCTTGTGGGTAATTTTTGAATTTCTTCTGAATTGCTTCAATATTTTCAGGTATGTCTTCTACTTTCTTATGAAATGCTATAGTGTACAAATTCAATTTAGATGTCTTAATTACAGTGATACTTATTCTAAGGATCACTATGGTTGATGTTGTGTCGAGATAAAGTTTGGTCAATAGCTTGTATGGAGAGGAAGCTGTGGGGAATCTCATTAATGATCACTTGCATCAAAAGGGGGTGGTGTGTAAATCTTGTTATTTATCACACACATGCTCACATGGCCATATGCATATAGTTGATGGAAGGATTAAAAAATGTGTAAAATTCTATATCCTATTTCTTAGATACCTTTGTCTTCTTTCAACTACATTTCTTGGTGGGAGCACTTGATTTACAAAAGAGAGTTATTGCATTTTTTTATTAACTTTTCCATTATCTTTTTTCTCTTTTCTGGGTCTCAAGTCTCAACATATATTTCTGTGTATTTTCTTACATGTATTCTTTGGTTTTTAGGATTCAATTTCAGATGTAAAGGAGGTCAGCACCGACAAGAACATTTTAGCTTGTCCCATTTGTTATGAACGTCTGATTTGGAATGGTGATCCTGTTTTATCTGTGTAAGTTATCTGTGTCATATTTAGAAGGATGCTTTCTTGCTTGTTTGGTCTTTTCCTGCTTCCTCCAGCTTTTTGGTGATTGATAAAATTTTCTTATTTGATAATTCTAGCTTTTTTGTTTGTAAAGTTGAATGTTAGTGTTCTTTATTTCATGTTATATTCATTTTCGATGAATTTGCTACAGGGACTCTGCACCTCGGTGTAGTTTACAATGCGGCACTTGTAAGAAGGCTTACTTTGGCAATGAAACTCATATTGACCTGACAGTAGCTAGTGGGGCCAAGGAGTATGGTGAAGCCATGCCGGCTTCCACAGAGCTATTCAGGTTAGAGTTGGGTATAGATGGGTTTGTTAATCAGAGCACATGATGGATGGTTAAAATTGTTTGTATCTCTTATGTTTCTGCATATCATGAAGGTTTGGCGATTCTGGAGATCATTTTAAGGAAGTATAACATTTACTCTTCACCATAATACTTCTATTATCATGGTCATGTCATCTGGAATTATGCCCCTTCTTATTCTAACTTTTTCTCTTTCTCAATTCCTGCAATTATTAACATAATAGACAGTACTTTTTGACTGCTTAATGTAAGAAATGAAATGGCACAGTAATTTTGCACAAAAGACAATATTCTGATAAGGCAAGAAAATATATGCTTACCTGGGATGTCCAACAACATCATAAGATCAAATCAAGTAATGCTTAAATTGTATTTTTCAAAACATTCTTCAAGTTGTAGATGACTGCAGGTAATGGTTCGAGGTTTTGTTATTGTTCATGTAACTTCTCTTTAAATTCTTCCAAATAGCATTGTCTACCTTCCTTTTAAGGAATTGCTATAACCTTATATCCCTAAACTAAAGTGGCGCCAACAACCCATACCAAAAAGTCAAAGATTCTCTTTTCTCTCTACTTTTTGCACATCTTTTCGTAATTAGCCAAAAAGTCATCCCAAACATACAAGTTTTTTTTACTTACCTTTTTAGCCAAATAGCCAAAAAGTTACTAAATTAGCCTGTTCCCAAAGGAGGCCTTAATGTAAGAAATGAAATGGCACAGTAACTTTGCACAAAAGACAATATTCTGATATGGCAAGAAAATATATGCTTACCTGGGATGTCCAACAACATCATAAGATCAAATCAAGTAATGCTTAAAGTGTATTTTTTAAAACATTCTTCAAGTTGTAGATGACTGCAGGTAATGGTTCAAGGTTTTGTTATTGTTCATGTAACTTCTCTTTAAATTCTTCCAAATAGCATTGTCTACCTTCCTTTTAAGGAATTGCTATAACCTCATATCCCTAAACTAAAGTGGCTCACTATCTCCACAAATTCTGGTGGCCGGTAAAATCGATATCTTCATTTGACAAAAACCTTGCATTATGCTTTAGCATGTAGCTTTTAGTAGTGTAGATCTAGAATGTTCTGGTTAGATGGCTGATGAGTTTCAGCATTGGGATCAGAGTCATCATCATGGGTTTATATATCCTTATGGCTCAATGTAACAAAATACTTTTGGGCAGGCCAAGATTCGAGGTGTCATATGAACCAAATATTTGCATTGCAAATTTTGTGCATTTTGATTAAGTGATAGCATGCACTTGGATCATCTGTTTTCTTAACATTTTTTAAGTTTGCTTAAGTGATAGCATGCACTTGGATCATCTCTTTTAAATTTGATTGCTTACGGTGATCTCTCCATATGATAATCCCATTTCTTTGCTACAAATGCCATGCTCCTCACGATATACTGATGATTAACTCATGCATTAGGACTGAAGCTGACACTGCAGTAACAAGCTACAGAAACTTGATTTTTAACAGAAAGATCCAATATCTCGGGAATTAATTATTTTTGTTTTTTGTTAATTTGTCTACAACACATTGTAATATTTCCTACATTTAGTGATCCTATACATAAATGATATCATATTTGACATTACACACTAAATTTGAGTTGTATCATATGATGAACGCCAATAGTTTGTTGCCACAGGGTTCCTCTGGTATCATTCCTCTATGAGCGGGGCTGGCGACAAAGTTTTTCAGTATGGGGTGGTTTTCCAGGCCCACAGAAGGAGGTATCTTTGTTATATATAATTTTGTTGTTCTATCAAAATTTTCTTTTGTGTTGACAAATTATTATACAGATTAGCCTGTACAATCTTTTGATTGGTTACCAACTTGGCATTGCAATTAGAATTATTGTAGCACAGATTTACAATTATAAACACTGGGTGTTTGTGTATCCCTTGGATTTTTTTGAAAATAATTAAACAATGCATTCTCTGTAAGACTATTATGTTTGAAGGAAATTCCATCCTAAACAACCAGCATTGTAGTTTATACCGTCACAGTAAAGAAACTAAGAAGCAAAATCATTTCATGAATTTCCAAGTTCTACCATCGTAAAGATGTTAATAGCTGTCTAAAATGTGTTTGACTCGTTTTAAATAAATGCTATGTGAACCCTACTGGTATTATTCAATTTTCATCTTTGTCCAAATGCTCCATTAACAAGATATGTTAATCATAATATATGTGTGTATATATATCTGCTAGTTGGGATTAGAAGTGGTGTAAATAGGATTCGTCCTGTTCATGCATGTTACTATACAAATATGATGGTTAAGACGCTAATCATTAATGATGTTGGCTGCAGTTTGAATTAACAAAAGATTTCCTTAAGCCAGTCTTAGGTGGAAACATTGTCGATGCAAGTTGTGGCAGTGGGTTGTTTTCAAGGCTCTTTGCCAAGAGTGGACTATTTTCTCTTGTTGTTGCTTTGGATTTTTCGGAGAACATGCTGAAGCAATGCTATGAATTTATTAATCAGGAGGAGAACTTTCCTAAAGAGTAAGCAGTTGCTTTTTTTAATTTAATATTTTTCTATTAAAATGAACTAGAGTTTGTAATTTCTTTTGCATAAATTTCTCTAAATGAAATGCTTCAAGATTATGATTTGGATTCTATTTCTAATGTAATAACATGTTGTCATTTTAGGAACTTCATTTTGGTTAGAGCAGACATCTCTAGGCTTCCATTCGCTTCTAGCTCTGTAGATGCAGTACATGCTGGTGCTGCTTTGCACTGTTGGCCTTCGCCATCGGCAGCTGTAAGTACATGCTGGTGCTGCTTTGCACTGTTGGCCTTCGCCATCGGCAGCTGTAAGTCTTTATAAGTTTAATCGTTTACTTGCTTGGGGAGTACGTATTACTGCTTACTACACACTAATTGTCTCAAAATCTTAATATACTGCATATTCTTTTTTTTTTTTTGATAGGTAAGTCATAAGTTATATACCAAAGTATGGATATTACAATGAGGCTCATTTCACGCCCAGAGGCAAACACCCTTCGAGGAGGGAAAAAAGCAAGCCTAGCTTCTACACAACAATCTAACAAGTAGATTAACATATAAGAAGCAACCAAAGCTAGGCCAAGCAATAATTAATGGACATGCCTACGATTTCATTGGAGTCTTATAACTTGATTTCTTAGACTTGATAGAGAGGCTAACTTCTTGAGCAAGTTTAAGATTGGCGATTCTCTCAAGAAGCTTTTTCTTGTTTTCCACTTTTGAAGATGGGTTTGTCCATTGAACCACGAATGTTCCATTTGAAAGGGATTGAGGAGCTCCTTTGGGACATGAAGATCGTTTAGGGGCTAACCCATTTATATTACCCATGTCCCTGACAATTTCTTTCTCTTCCCTGAGAGCCTCTACATTCGGAATATCTTCATTGGCATTAAGCACACTCTTAAGATCTGCACAAAAAGAAACCTTCTCATTGGCTACACAAATATTAAGAAAATCAAACGCATTCGATGAAGATGGAGGGGGTGTAGGAACAAAGTTGCCCATAGGAGCATTAACGACGTCCTTCCCTTTTTTCTTTTTCACTTCAACCCATTCATTTGGCTTGCTTCCCTCCTTCACTTCAGCTACTTCTTTGGCCTTCCACTCTTGTTTGAGTTTACTAGGAGCTTGAGTTTTCGATTTACTCGGACACAAACTTGTAGCATGGCCAAATATTTTGCATTCTCCACTCACTTGGGGTCTCTAAGAAACTTTCACTTTGATTTCGAACGGATCTCCATATCCTAAGTTTACAACAAAGGAGGGTGGAATCTCCTTAGTATTTTCTCTCAATACAAATTCTAGTAAATGTTAACCGGCTATGGTTTTGATTAACGTCATTAAGGTACAATGGATTACCAATAAAACTTGCTATGTAACTCAATCCCTCCTCTGTCCAAAGTTCAAGCGGCACATTGAAAATGTTTACTCATATTGGCACACTTGAGAAGACATTTTTAATAAGGGTCATACCAGGGTGCCATTTCTTGATAACAATCAATTTGCTCCCAATATAATAAGGCCCCTCATCAAGAGTGAACTTTAAAGCTTCTTCATCTTTAATCTTGATTACAAAGTTGTCATTATCTAAGGTTACAACCTCTTCAAGATTTTCCTTCTACAACTTGTAGGCCCAAGTCCATAGTAATTTTTAGGATTTATTAAATAATTGAAATATGAACATATAAAATAAATAAAATTCATATCATGATTTAGTAAAGGCCGATCTTTTGCTCAGGTGAGTGGGGGAGATCAATTAATGACCTTCTCCTCTCATACCTAAGGTTCCGAACCGAGACAACTTTGGTTATGATGAATAGTGGTCTTGGCACGAGTCATGGGTTTCTTAGTTTCTCAAAAATATTAGGTGGCGACTCTGAGATCTGATGACGCAGTCCATTTCTGGCAAAAGATTTTGCAATAAAATGGATTTTCTAGAAGTTGCCAAATCTGGACTCTCATCTATGTTTCGCATTGCACTAGTGAGACTAGATCAAAGAGATTGAGGGTCCGAACCGTTTAACGTGCAGGGTACCCTCCGGGTATGTTACAGTTTCTGGCGACTCTGCTGGGGATTTTATGTAACCTTGTCTCGAATTCCATGATATGACTTTTATTTTCAATTATATGTTTTTTGCATTGCATGCATTGGCGCACTTAAAGTTCTTGTGCTGCCCAGATACTAGTGGGAGCACAGGCACACTTTTTGTGACACTACACCTATCTCTACGTTACTTTGGAGGCCTTGTGTTATAATCTTTTGAGATCTGAAGGTTCTTAGACTTTGAAGAGAGGCTATTTTGACTCTTCTAATTTCCTAAGATCTTCATTGGTTATGACCCAAAGGACTCTTTGGTAACGTCACCTTGACTTTAACCCTTAGAGTAAAGCTAACCTTGTGCATATAATGAGCTATAATACCTTCCAAAATTAGGACAGGATGCTCTCCCATTTCTAGGATGTATGATCCCACTTGTTTGAGTAGTGAAACCCTAGATCATTTCAAAGTTAGGACAGGATAACCCTACCCCCATAAGGGTGTTTGTTCTCTTTCCTGCTATGTGTTATGTGCAATATATGGGAATTCTCAAATTCAGATGAGTGGTTCAGTCATTTCTGTTTGTTGGGTTGAGTTCAGTTTTTCAACATGAGTTAACAAATGAGGGCGAAATCTCCTTAGTAGCTTCTATCTCAATACAAATTCTAGAAAATGTTAACCAGCTATGGCTTTGAGTAAATTCATCAAGGTACAACGGATTACCGATAAAACTTGCTATGTAACTCAATCCCTCCTTTGTCCAAAGTTCAAGCGGTACATTAAAAAATTTTACCCATATCGGCACACTTGAGAAGACAATTTTAGTAAGGGTCATACCAGGGTGCCATTTCTTGATAACAATCAATTTGCTCCCAATATAATAAGGCCCCTCATCAAGAATGGACTTTAAAGCTTCTTCATCTTTAATCTTGATTACAAAGTTGTCATTATCTAAGGTTACAACCTCTTCAAGATTTTCCTTCCACAACTTGTAGGCCCAAGTCTTCACTTGGAAGAAAGACAATTTTCTATCAATAAAATAACCCACAAAAGCATGTTCTCATTGCTTAAACCCAATTTTAGAGATTTCTAATAGGATTTGAACTTGATCGTTCTCATAACCCACCAAGTATCTTTTGAGACTTTTGACTACTTTCTTCTTAGCATTCTTTTAGATTTAAATAAACCACTCCATGGTGTAGAGATAACATTATGGCAAGATTTACCCAAACCATTGGAACTATAGCTTTGGACTATTTCTGCTTTAGTCTTAGAGTCCATAGAAGCCACATCTACCAAACCCTCTACACATGACATTCGAAGCTGAGCATGCCCTTTTACCTCATTGTAGTCCTGCATATTTGTGGTTGGGGTACTTCCCTTTGTTGCTGTCTCAATATTCCCTATTGGTTCAGGGACGATTGTTTTGCCCAGGCCTTGTTCAGAAGAGCCATGGCAAAAACTAGAACCCACCATGGCATTGTAAGCTTTAGGGGAATCACAGGAAGTCTCTTCAATATCAAAATCATCATGTTCAAATTCAAGTTCTATTTGCCTTTGTATATAGTCTATATTATTATGGTTTTTAACATTTGCTTGATTTGAACTATTAGGGCCCAATTTATTTTTCACCAAACTAGAATGGAATTCTTTAAGAGGGATTTTGGATGAGCTACCCCTCTTATTTCTTAATTTCTTACCCATTTTCAGCAAACAGATTGGGGAAAATGGGGAGGAATCACAACCCAATAGCTATCAAGGATAAATCAACAACAATGGAAAGATTTTAAAATTGTAACCTGCTTTGGCTTCTGAGTTGGAGTTGGAATCGGAAGCTTGACTCAGCGAGCGACCATAGCGACCACCACCACTGCGGCCACTCTCCCCAACACTCTCTCTCTTCCCACTCCCCACAGTCTCATCTTACTCAGAGCTTCCGGGACGACCCGCCGAACCCGTTCACCTCGCCTACTCAATCTCCCTAACTCATTGCGCCCGAACCTGAGATTTGCAGATGTAGCGTATCGATCTAGTACAGTGAACTCAAGGTTCGCAGCAGGTCTCTCTCTCTCTCTCTCTCTCTTCTCTACACACAGTCGGACTCTGCTTTCTTCGATTATACTGCATATTCAAAAGCATGAAATGTAGGTTGATTGATTTGAAAATTGTATGTAAGAACTAAATTCCGTATGGTTGACATGTCAATCTGTGTCTCATTGGCCCTTCAGCACCCAAGTGTGATAGACATTCTTCAAACTGATTTTTGAACATTGCATCCGAGTGAAGTGAAGGATATAAATTGCATAAGTATAAATTTGACATCAAGAGCAAGACTTTGTTGGACACTCCATTGTGCTCTTCTTTTTCTTTTCTTTTCTTATTTTATTTTATTTTCTTCTCTGAAATCTAAATTTGGCAAGACTTTTTCCATACATCTTAGGCTTCGGTGTTCTTATTATTATTAACTTGCCTCAATCGTGCTAAATGAAGAGATATTGTCAATTGCCATAGTCCTTGCTGTTACAAATCTGATTTATAATCCAAGAATAAAAATCAAAATACAAATTAGTAGTTTCCAACTAAAACTTTTGAAAAGCAAAGAAGATTCGATTAAACCACAAAAATCAAAGTCCTCCAATCCTACTTTTGAGTTGCTACCAGAACTGAACTCATCCACTGGTGATTCTGGTGACCTCTGGGAAATGTATTCAGTTCATTCTCCTTGTTTTGGTAGTACAGATAGCAGAAAACACATCGAGATAACTGCAGCACTTTCTTTGTAGTTCTTCAGCTGAAAACACCTGCTGATCAATCAATACCGCTAGCAATCTGCTTAAATTTTGGATAGCGCAATGTATTAGGTACACTTCATCATTTGTCTCACATTAGTCCCCTCCATTTGAGGAAGCTTGACATCAAGATTCTACTCACGGAGCTAGATTCTAAATTTTATGGGGTCCTGTTTAATTTTCTTCCTAGCAAATAAGCTTTTAACAGAAACCTATCTGACCTTGTTTTTAAATTTAACTTCCCACTACACAAGTCCAAATTATAAATTTAATGTTCAAACTTCTATGAAGCTTCCAGCGTTGTTGCCCCACTTATTTAACTCTATTGCGATGTCTATGGTTCTAATCTTGTAAGTCATCCATGTGTGCTCTTTAATGTTGCAGCTATGGTTTTACAGGTGGCTGAGATAAGTCGAGTTTTACGGCCTGGAGGTGTTTTTGTTGCTACCACCTACATATTGGATGGTCCTTTTGCAGTGGTCCCATTTTTGAGGCCTCTGCGCCGGGTATGTTTCTTCAGCGTCAATCTCATTCGTGCATTCCACATGAGATAATAGATGAGTTTGAAAATAAATTTAAAAAAATGAAAAAGTGAAAAGAAGTGGTTGAATCCTTAAGATTAAGAGCATATAATTTCCCCTGATTGTTCCCATCAAGCCCACTAAACATTGATTCTATACCCCTTGTCCATGCTGTGGCTGCTGTATGCTAGAGAGCAACCAAACACTTGTCCGAATGCTGATTCTTTTCTCTCTTCTTTTTTTTCTCTTTTTATTTTGCCTTTTTCATTTTCAACAAATAAAAAAATTTAACTTTGTTAATTTGATGAGAACTTTAGTTAATGGGTGCATCTTTCACCCAACCTGTCTTGGCTTTTAATTTGCAGCTGATGATGGGTAATTTGTTTCTCATTGTAGAACATTGGGCAATTCTCAGGCAGCCATGTCTTCCTAGCTGAAAGTGAACTTGAAGATCTCTGCAATGCCTGCGGCCTTGTGGGTTTTACATGCAACAGGAACGGACAGTTTGTGATGATTTCTGCTACAAAACCGAGCTAACAATATTTGGCTTTGTGTTGTTCTACCCATTATTTCTCAAACTACTTACATGGGTGTCAGTAATGTCCAAGCTTTGTATTTGTTAAAACCGTGTACAGTGCCTGGCTTGCAAATCTGTATGGGAAAAAAAAAAACATTTCTGATGTATTTAGAGAGAAAATATTTACTGATATATTTAAAGAGAATATTTACTAATTAGACTCTTGTACCTTCATTGGAATATACAATTTGTAGACGTTTAATACACAGACAGTCTTCTTTGACTGGTAAAAGATTCTTGCTGAAGAAATGAAGTTCAGTTTTGTTTTCTTGACATAGGTTTGACCTTAACCTTGATGGAAACTAGGCAAAATTTGATACTGACATCGATTTTATTTATTTATTTATTTGTTTTTGTGGAACTTTTAACATTGAATTCTTGTATTCACTGTTTCAATGCATTTGTCAGTATTGGGTTATATAGGAATTTCAAGACTTATGAATTTCGAGACATGATCTAATAGTTAGAAGTATTGGATTATATAGGAATCTCGAGATATGTGAATTTTGAGACATGATATAATAATTAGAAGTATGTTGAGATAAAATTAACAGAATAATTTTGGAATAAATAAATGGGAATGGAATTTTGAATGTATGAAACTTGGAACATTGACCAAGACCAATTATTCCATGGAACCAAATGGGGTATTATTATAGAATCTATGGGATGCCAAAGAGTCTCAAGTGAAAAACATGGGTTTATGACTAATGCAATAAAGGTGGCGTTTGGTAACTTTATCAGTTTTTGTTTTGACATTTGTTTTTCCTCACAAAAATAAAATCAAGAAAGCATGGTGAGTTGTTGGAAGAGGTGACCGAAGGTGTTGGGGGGAGAGAATGAAAATTTATTTTGAAAAAAACATGTCAATTTTGGGGCAAAATTACAATTTTGAGCCTCGAAAATTGACTAAAAAAAGCGTTTCAATTTTTTTAGTTATTATATTAGTCTAATAATAAGTTTACTAGAATTTAAAAGGTCTCAATAAAATAAAAATATTATAATTATCAAATTGACTGAAAAAATAGTACATAATGAATTGTTTCAATTATTGAAATAGGACGTATAATAAATCTCACCGGCCTTTAAATTTTTTTAAATTTAAATTTAAACTTATGAAAAGTGTAACCAATCCAGAGTTCTGAGTGGTGGTCATGGAAACCACTCACCAATTTTATGGTGTTAATAATGGGTAATAAAATACTGGTTAATGACACATCCAACATTAATCTCACTACTTTTTACACCAATTTTCTCACAACGTGAACAACGGTGTAGAGGGCAGTCAGTCTTCTCCATCACATCAAAATTCCAGTAAAAAAATTTGACTTGACAAGTGGTGATAGAAACCACATTATTATTATTATTATTATTATTATTATTATTATTATTATTTTAAGGTTTATAGTCAATGGCAAGGTGGAAACAAAAGTTGCAAATTAAGGTCAAGTTTAACAATACTAAAATATTTTATTTTTTTATTTTTTTTATCATATTATTTTTTTATTTTTTGGTATATCTTTTTATAAAAAGACAAAAAATATACTTATTTAGATCATTCCAAATAACCTCTAAAATTAAATCAGGGATAGTTGCAAATTTAAGTTTTAAGAATGCATGTTTATGTTGAGAGGATCAAAAACAATTTTTTTGCCAATTTGTCATTAGCACTACTAATACATGTTGCTTTTTATATTGGGTGTTAAATGAGATATGCCTAGAATCTTTGAAAAGAAGAAAGGGATGTAGATGGAATTTGCAGGGGTGAATTTGAAGAACTTTTAACAATCTTTGCAATTAAATTTTTTACAGTAACCCATTAAGGTGTAATATCAATTCTAATTAAGGATTTAATTTGAGTAGGTTTAACCAAGGCAACCCAAGCCTAATCGGTAAAATTTAACACGTAGACAGTGAATATTTAAACACACAATTGGGTATCTGCTAAAATTTTTAGTTCATAACTCAACATCTATTTAAATAAGGGTAAATTACACTGACCTCTCCTGATGTTTACCTTAATTATAGGCACCTCTCCTGTAGTTTCAAAAATAACATTGAACTCCCTTACTTTTGAAAATAATATATAGATTCCCCCTTCCCGTTAAAAAAGTAAGAACGACGTTAACTTAATAGCTGAATTGACCATAATACCCTTCAATCATACTATGAAAAGACTACCCTTCTATATATATATATATATATTGTTTCCAAACCCTGACCAAACCAAACCTCCCCTCTCTCTCTCTGACCAGAGTTTCGCCGCCCTATCTTTCTCTTTCTCCTCTGCGACCGACGTACCGCTGTTCGAGCTCCGTCGATACGTCGCCACTCCACAATTCCCGCCGATCTGTCGATCTGAGCGAAGTGAAGGAGGAGCAGTATGAGAAACTACGACGGTAAAATCTTGAAGAAGCCCTTGAAGCCAAATCTCTTCGCTGTATTATCAATGCATATCATACCGTCGCTAACAAGATCTCATCTCTCCGAGGCTGATGATTCTCAAAGCATCTGACTGAAACGATTTCAGATCTATTCGACTGAAAATGATTTCAGAGTGAAGTGAGAGAGGATGTGTGTGTCTGTGTATATATATATATATGTTGTTGTAGCAATTCTTCTATTTCTCGCCCCAAATTCTTTCTCTGATTTTGTTTTCTTTTTTTAACATGTTTATGTGTGTGTGTGTGTGTGTATATATATTTGAGATGGAACTAGAACTTATGAAACTTCTTTTTTTATTTTTTTTCTTAAATGGCTAGTTGCTTTTGTAAAATATAAGAGAACTTTTACTTTCATTTTGTGAATCTGAACTTATGGTTTTCTCTGATTTGACTTTCTTATTTACATAATATATATTGTACGAGTACGAAATAATTCTTCTCGTATGATCCTGTTGATCAAGCTTGCACTCCTCCAAACGTCGCCGTTTTGACACTTGAAAACACAAACGTGAGCTAATCGGCGGGTGTGTGCCGGAAACCCCTCCGATACCTAAGTCAGCACAATAGACAATAGACACAAAAGCTCTGTAAATTCAGGAATCAAAGTTTTGTTACCTCTCCATAGGTGATATTATAAGCTTTTATAGGTTTTGCGTGGCACAATCCTAGTAGGACTCCTATTCCCCCATGTAGAGTCCTCCTAGGAATCACACTCCTGAAAGATAATGCTTATCCTTCAACACTCTCCTCACTGCTTAAACCAAGTGAGATGGTTTTACCTCGGTAGTACGTCAGAACGACCGAGTTATCATAGCCACGCTAAACTGGCTGAAATGACCGAGCTTTACCTAGCTCGGTTCTTCCCTGTATTGTGTGTACATCGGCTTCTCCTGTTAAGACCGTGCTAACCATAACGAGTTTGGACCGAGCTAATTCGTAGCAAGGTCATGAGAAAAGCTCAAAGTACCTTGGCTCAGAAGGGTATGGCCGAGCTAACTGCTATCACTCTAACAGTGGTGACCGAGCTAACTCCAAGGCTCTTTTGGACCGGGCTAACCTACAAGGCCCATTTACCCAGCCCTTCTTACTGTGGCCCATAGAACGACCCATTACCCAACTCGGCCCAATTTATTTACAAATTACCCTCTCATATATATAAGTTTACGCTTCACATGTTACAATTTTAGTATATATGTGTGTGTTACAAATTCAATTCAAACCATCTATGTTTCTTCTTTTTTTTAAAAAAAGATAAATGTATATTTTTGTTTTTCTTTTGGCCTTTTCATGGTGTTTTTTGATCTCACTAACACTCAATGTGGGTGTTTGGGAAGTGAGTTTTTTTGTAGGTTTTTTTAATTGTAGGATATTATTGGAGAAATTTTTTTTTGTGTTTAGGAAGATAATTGGATTTTTTTGTGGTTGGATATGATGTTTGTGAGAAAAAAAGTGAAATGATTATAGGGTTTAATATGATATTTTATTTGGATTTGTTTTTTATTTTATTTTGTAACCAATTTGTCTTTTAGTGAAAAAAAAAAAAAAAAAAAAAAAAATCCTTCCCAAACACCGCCAATAAGTTTGAATTTTGTGGGTTTTATGCTTCAAATGGTAAAATTTTGTTGTTTGGGACCTCTTTTTAAGTCCCTAGTGTAGATAAGTGAATTTATGTATTGACTCTCAAGAATTTTGCAAAAATTCTGTAATGAGGAAAACCCCTTTTGGGATTTTTTTTGAAAACAGAGGAAAGTCCTAAATGTAGCAATGAGTAAAACTCAGATGAAAAATTTTGTAAATTGGCCTCCTCCTTAATCTCCACCTCCCTCTAAATCTCTCTCTCTCTCTCTCTCTATATATATATATATATTGTGTTTGTATTTGGTATTTATATGAGATCTTGGTTTTTGATCTGTTTGTTCTTTGTTGATGGTCAACATAAACCCTACAATAGCCAAAGGATAGTATTGGAATTTGTAAAATAATTATGGATGACATCAACAAAATCTACTTAATTTTGGACGGATGGGCAACAAAAGGGGAAATTTGCATATTATTTTCAAAAGTAAGGGAGGTTAGCGTTATTTTTGAAACAACAAGGGAGGTCCCTGTAATTAAAGTAAACCTCAGGGGAGGCCAGTGTAATTTATCCTTTAAATAATAAATTGGATCGATTCTCACCATTAGGTCTATGAAATTTCACTCTATTTGTTGGATTAAATCAATGGTGAATTACACTAACGGTTCCTGTAGTTTGGGTTTATGTCTTTAATTCCTGACTTTTCAATTGTGATACATTTGACTCTAAATTTTGACTCTCATTCCAAATAAGAACAATTGAAGATATTGTTGCTCCATTTCAAGAGCAAAGTCATTAATTTGAGAAAATATAAACTAGTTTGACAAAAATAGATATTTTTTGATGGTTATCATGTAATGGATTGTTATAAGGTTTTTAATATGTAATCAATATGTTTAATATATAAAATATTCATATTTTTAGATTTTTTTTTATTTAATGGATTTGTTTAATAATGATATCAAAGTTGTCGTCATGTTTGACTTTTAAAAATATAGAAACTAATTTAAACAAAATAAATATAAAAAAATTATTTTTATCCTCCCAAAAATAAAATTATATAAAAATGATGTGTTTTTAATTTTTTTTCACCAATTTAATTTTTAGTTTTTTCTTAAAAATTAAAAAATAAAATTAAATAAAAATGATGTGTTTTTAAATTGTTGAGTGGTGATTCGTCCCACTAATTTTTAGATCACTAATAGCTCTAAT